TAAACCGCCCTTCATTGCGCCGCCCGCATTCATCCTCCATCCATTCCAATCCTCTTCACTTCACCGGCCATCTTTCTCTTTCTCTCTCTCTCTCTCTCTCTCTCTCTCTCTCTCTCTCTCTCTCTCTACTCACTACCTGACTCACTCACTTACTCACTTACCAACCCACTCTCCCATCCAACGTAAATTTCCTACGATAAATTCCATTCCAGAACACTCATATCACTCACTATTCGACCACACCCCCACCATCAACCCGCTCTCATCCGGAGAGCCCAGCCAGCCAGCCAAGCAGCTAGCCCTATTAGATTCCCCCCGAAACCACCGAAACCACAATGACCGATTCTATCAACAACAACAACACGCCCGGAGTAGGGGATGATGTCCTGCGCACCCCCTCCCCGCTGCCCCCGGCCCCAATGCAAGACTACACGTTCCCCGAACACCGCTTGAAGCGCCGAATGGACGACCCGGAGAAGACCCCATTACTGCTGGTCGCCTGTGGCTCCTTCTCCCCGATCACCTACCTGCACCTGCGCATGTTCGAGATGGCGGCCGACTACGTTAAATTCAGCACCGAATTCGAGATTGTGGGCGGGTATCTGTCGCCCGTGTCGGACGCCTATCGCAAGGCCGGATTGGCGAACGCTGAGCATCGGTATGTTCTATCCCCGGCGTCTCTACTCAGACTCTCTTCCTCTCGAAACGTAATAAACACTAACAGCACCACAAAAAAGTGTGGCGATGTGCCAACTCGCCGTCGACCAGACCTCCGACTGGCTGATGGTCGACACCTGGGAACCCATGCAGAAGGAATACCAACCCACCGCCGTGGTCCTGGACCACTTCGACCACGAGATCAACACCGTCCGCCATGGAATCGAGGCCGGAGATGGCACGCGCAAGCCCATCCAGATCGCTCTGCTGGCCGGCGCAGATCTGGTGCACACCATGTCCACCCCGGGGGTTTGGAGCGAGAAGGATCTTGATCACATCCTTGGCAAATACGGCGTACGTCTTGGAAACCAAATCCCCAAGGAGAAGGATTCCCAGAACTAACATACAGCAAAACAGACCTTCATCGTCGAACGCAGCGGAACCGATATCGATGAAGCGCTCGCCGCCCTCCAGACCTGGAAGAAGAACATCCATGTCATCCAGCAACTCATCCAAAATGACGTCAGCAGCACCAAGATACGCCTCTTCCTACGCCGTGACATGAGCGTCCGCTACCTGATCCCCGTCCCCGTCATCCATTATATCGAACAACACAATCTCTACAAGGATGATGGAACTGCCGACAAGGGGAAGGGCCGGCAGGAGCCGGGTTCGTCGGGTTGATAGAAACCTTGTTCTTCCCTCCCCGCGCGCCCTGCCCCCCCCCTCCTCCCCGAGAGGGATTCAGTTAACTTTAGTGTTCTTACGCCTTCCCCGACGTCCCATCCTATCATCCACCCAAGGGGTAAACAAGAACACTGAAAGAGAATTCGGAGAGCGCTACAATGGGACCTCAGACAAGGGGGTTTTCTTTTCCAGCAGACCGGGTTCTCTCCTCGCACCTCCATCCTCTCACCATTCTCGCAACACGATCCAGGATCCTTCGGTGGTGTCACTCATTGCTCCCGCTCATACTGTCACCTGTTATATTCCTCGCATGTTTCCCTTGACTTCTTCTGGATCCAACCTTCAAGAATTCGGCCACGCGTTCTACCGCTCACCCCGACAAAGAGGGAAGGGAGACGCCATGATCACCCACTGTACAGTCCTCCGGGTCAGTGCTCCGCATGTATAGCATCCACTCATCTACTCCTCCCCTCCCCCGCTGGGAATGAGATCCTCACCTGGTCGCCAAGAAATCCCCCCAAGTCAACTGTCCCTCTCTCGCTTGTTGATTCTCTCATGACACGTTTCGGAATGGGTCTATTTTTAATTCTTTTTACAAAGGCGTCTGATGCACTGTTACGATTAATGCGTTGTGTTTCCTGGCCCCCTTTTGTCTGTTTTCCAAAGATACCATACATATCATAGATCACCACTTAATACCTTCGATCCCGCTCTTTCTCTTATTGGTATTCTTCACCATGCTGTAGTCTACACCTCCCAGTCTTGCACCATTTCCCCTGTTAAGATGCTGAGCAAAAAAAAAAGGTATCAAGACTAGTTATGTGATTCTTGGCAAGCCTGGGAAGTGGGTTATGCATTATAGGTAACAGAAGGTTATATGGAAATATATGCAAGAAGGAGATTCTCGAATCATGAAAAAAAGTATCGGCGAGAGATTTAGGATATCCAAAACCCCCACCCCTTGGGTATAATAATGATGATGATGATGATGATGATGTGAGATAAGGAGATAAGAAGAAGCCACGCTAAAGACTGGGTCAAGTATGTTATATCACCAAAAACGGTCCCGACTGAACCAAGCTTCCTTTATGTGAAAAGATGCAAACCCGCCTGTCCCTCGAAGGGCAAAGCGAGGTGCCTGTAGACGTCTTGTTTGCACATGAGAAACATATTGACAAGAAGCTGAATCCCAGAAGAAAAGACCAATAATCGTGGATGGAGGTCAGTAAAAACCACGGGAAAAGAGAACAACTTGCGAGAAGCGAAGAAAATATAGAGGTTGAAGAAGATAAGCCAAAGGGGGGAAAACGAGATCCAAGATTGCATAAAATCCACGAATGCTCAAAGACGTCAGTCGTATACATCGTCGCCATATTTTGGCCCTGGCATGAGGACCGTTGCGGGCCCAAAGGCAAGGGGAAGAAGAGCTAGTCATCACAATCATTCCACAGATCCTCGGCCTCGATCACGCCCAGGCACTCGTTGTCGTGCATGACTGCGAGCACAACCACCGTCGTACTGGTGGTGGCATTGGCCTCGGACACCAGCCGGCGGGCGTCGTCGATGCTGCTCGAGCTGGGAATCTGAAGCCAGTCTTTGCGGGACACGCTAAAGGGAAGGCCCAGATCCACGAACGAGGACACATGCATATCCACATAATTACTCTGAGAAAGGAAACGAAGGTGTCGCGGAGGAATGATCTCTGACGAGGACAAGAAGACCCATGATTTCGCATGGGGATGTTGGATAGCTGTAAGTAGGATATCTAGGAGACGGATCTTGCCTGATGCAGAGACCTTAGGGATCTGGTCGAGGGCGGTTGACACATCCGCGACGCGTGGTTGTTGGCTTCCTTTGCGGTCCGCTGGGGGGAACGAGACGATAGAGTCCTGCGTTGGGATGTAGTCGGACGGAGTAGAGGTGCTGGAGGCGGAGGACATGCTCATCGGGGTCAACGCCATCGAGGCAGCCCCAATTGCACCGCCTGGGTGGTAGCCCTTGAACACCTCGGCCGGACCCCGCCCCGGAGCGGTATGCAATCGTCGAGCCGTGGCGATAGCCAGCGCATCTCCCAGCGACAAGGCCACCGTGGTGGACGATGTCGGGGCACTCACACCAATGGAAGACTCCTCATCCTCGTGAATCGGGGCGGGTAGGAGGATCCCCATGTCCGAGGGTTGGAAGGACAAGAGAGGGCAGGTCGAAGGGTGCATGTGCGAAGTGATGGCAATCACTGGAACGGTTGACGGAATATGAGGCAGCAGAAGTAGAAGTTCGGGTGTACGCCCGGAAAAGGAAATCAATAAAAGGGTATCATGCTGGATCCCGACTCGAAGTTAGCCATCATCGTACCAGCTTCTGTGTGGAGAGAGGTTTTCGCCATGTCTTACCGGTCGAATCATGCCAAGGTCGCCGTGTAAGGCTTCCGTCGGATGCAAAAAAGCACTGTAGATTCCGAGACTGTTCATCGTGGCCTCCAGCTTCTGGGCGATTTTCCCGCTCTTGCCCACCCCGCAGCAGACCAGCTTTCCGCCATGTTTGATGGTGCGCGCGATCCGAGTCACTGCGCGCGCAAGGTGTTCCTGGGCCAGAGCATCGGTCTGATAAGTGTGCTCCAAGTGCGCCAAGGCTGCCCGCTCGGTGGAGATAACCTGAATGGCATCGGATACAGCACCGGAGGAGACCTTAGAGGCAGCAAGAGCAATATCCGAGGTGTCCGGAGGGGTCATGGACAAGAAGTCATCGTTTGTGGCGGAAGGCATTGAGTGGGAGAGGGGCATGATGGCGGCGGCGGCGGGAGAGAGCGGAATGGGGGGGAACTGCTGCTTGATGAGATGCCCCATCATTGCGCTACCATTTCTTTCTCAAAGATACTAAGTAGGTAGGAAAGTCCAGGTTTAAGAGTGAAGGAAGACCGTGTCCTCTCCCAGGAAGAAGCCTGGGAAAAGAGAACCCGGACAAAAGCCAGGAAAGAAGAAAAGAGGGGAATTCGGAATCGAAGGTGGGGGGGAAAGAGAAAGAGTCCGCGCAAAGAGAGGGGAGGAAAGGAAGAAGACAAGGGAGAGGGAGAGAAAAATGCGGAGGGGCGAAAGAGGAACGGAACGGGAAGAAGGAAGAAAGAGGCCTAGAGTCTGGAATGCCTACTCCGTACTGTACTTTGTCTTTATGGATTGTGGATTATGGATCTACTAAGGAAATAAATACAGTGCATTTGTAGATAACAACCCGGCCCGGAAGAGATACTACTTACTACTTTCTCACTTCTGCCAGGATCTTTCGGAGAGTCGGAGATTACCTACTGCCTGCTAACTAACTTTAGATTTTCTCGACGATAATCTCTTTCTTACCCCCCGCCTCGATCAACCAGTCAATGGCTCCGATGAGGGCATTTCCTCCATCGGCTGGCGCCCCGATTCATCCGCTATCACACCATTGCCGCGGAAGTTGATGTCTTCTTCTCCTTCTTCTCGTCGTTGTTGTGCACGGATCCGATCCCACCCTCCATCAACATTATTAATAATGTTAATAATGATACACTTGGCGACACTTGGTTTTGAGGAGCAGTTAGTCTTACTGACTTAATTTAGTTACAGTTACAGTTACATTTTTCCTTCCCCCCCCCCTTCTCCCTACCACCACCACCACAACTCCTAATCCTAATTCAAAGGCTTAATTCCCTTGTGAATCGCCGCAATGCCCCCCGTAAGGTTCTCGAACCCGCGTCCCGGAATCAAGAACCCAGCCTTCTGGATCATGCCCCGGAACTCCTCCTGGCTCGGGAATTGCTCAATACTCTCGACGAGGTACTGATAACTCTCGCGGTCGCCCGCGACCAGCTGGCCGATCAGGGGGATGGCACTGAAGCTCCACTGCTTGTAGACGGCATTGAACAGGGCGTTGTCGACCTTGCTGAACTCCATGCACGCGAAGACGCCGCCGGGCTTGAGCACGCGGAAGGCCTCGTTGAGCGCCGCCTGCTTGTCCGTGAAGTTGCGAATGCCGAACACCACCGTGTACAGGTCGACCGAGTTGCTGGGGATCGAGGGCATGCTCTGCGCGTTGCCCTCCAGGAAGGCCAGCCGGTTCGTGTTGTAGTAGGGGGTCTGGATGCTGCGCTTCTTGCCCTCCGCCAGCATGTCCGGGTTGATGTCGGCGATCGTCACCCGCGTCGCCGCGTCGTGGTTGATGTTGGTCGCATGGTCCAGCATCCGGAACGCGATGTCGCCCGTGCCGCCCGCGATGTCCAGGATGTTCCAGCCGCGGCCGGCCGTGTCGTGGTCGCGCGACGGCAGCGCCGACCCCGGGTTCAGCGACCGCACGAAATGGTCCTTCCACAGCCGGTGGATGCCCAGCGACATCATGTCGTTCATCACATCGTAGGACGAGGCCACCGAGCTGAACACGGTTTTCACTAGTGTACCCGGGATAGTTAGTATGGCGAGGCCTTGAGGAATAGACCCATGGATCTGATATGGAAAAACTTACCCATGGATTCCTTCTGCGATTCGGGGACATTTTGGAAGCCGAAATGCGTGAATCGCTCCTCGTCAGCGGTCGGCTTGGGCGGTTGGGCCTGGGCTTGTCGCGTGCAGGAGAAACACCGGTACGGGGTCTCGGGCATGGCCAATCGCCGTCTTGTCTGAGTCTGTAAACTCCTCCAAAGAGATCGGGACGACATGATGGCGGTTAATGAGGTGTAATTATGAGCCGGGCTGGAGTAAAGGGAAGAAGATCGAGAGATCCGCCTTCCGGGGGCGGAATTCTACGATAACGTGATGCCTCAGGCAGTGGCTGTCATGCTGCCTCCTTCCGTTTCTTATCAGCAATCACCACAACTTCTACAGTAGATCGACGCCCGAATGAATAGCAACGTTGCTGAAGCTGACAATTATCTACAGACACATTCACAGACATGACATCTCTTACTAACATAGACTTCTCCGATTCCTTGAGATAGCTCGTTTCACTGCAAACCTCCCAAGCCATTACTCGCACTATATAGCTAAGCATATATCCTATCTCCCAGCCCAGAAACAATGGACCCAGTTCACATGAAAATCCACAACACTCTACCTACCCCCTAAAGAACCTCACAAGCACCCCCAACCGCACACCTAACCCTCAAATCCTCCTCCGCAACACTCTCCCCTACCCAAAAAACCACCCCCTCCCCAGCAACAGGCACCCTCCAGTCCTGCACCGTGACATCCCAGACACTCAGGTCTTTCCTCGTCACAGTCAACTTGACCACCTCACTCGCCCCGGGGGCCAGGGTCGCGGTCTTCGCGAACGCCCGGAGCTGTCTCTGCGGTGTATCGACGCCGAAGACCGCCTGCCCCGGTAACTGTACATACAGCTGCGCCACCGCCCTCCCACTCCGTTTGCCCGTGTTCGTGACCGTCACGTCGATCTCGAAGGCCGTCTCAAACAGCGCCGCGTTTCCGCCCTGCCCGCCCCCGGCGCGCGGGGCAGGGTGCGCCGCCGTGGAGTAGCCAGACGGGTACGCGTAGGTACTCGTGGAGTTAGTAACGCTCTCGGGGTCATCAAGGTACGGGTATAGGTAACGCCAGATCCGGTCCAGCGTGCTGGGCCATGCGACCTCGGATGGATCGGGGATGTTTGTGGGGTAGGTGGGGACGGAGGCCTTGCTGGCGCGTGCGGCCGGATATTCGCTGCTCAGGGCGGTCACGGTCGTCAGTGCGGGGGCGGAGTACTGGAAGGTTGTGTACGACAGGCCGTGGCCAAAGGGATAGCGGGGGGTGATGTTTGCTTTCAGGAAGTAGCGGTAGTCGATGTAGAGCCCCTCGTCAAACCAGTCCTGGATCTGGGAGAACAGAGGTTGCGAGGTGATGATGTCCGTGGAGGATGGGTAGTCGGACGCAGAGGCGGGAATGGTGTAGGGCAGGTGGCCGCTGGGGCTGGTATCGCCGTAGAGAACGTCGGTGAGCGAATAGCCGGCGGCTTGGCCGGGGAGGTGCGCAACAAGCACGGCTTTCACGCTGGGGAGGTCGATGAATGACTCGAGGAGGATCGGGCCGACGGTATGGATGACCACAACCACTGTGGTGAACTTGGATGCTGCGGCTTGGACGAGCGCGTCGCCGTTGTGCCATGCGTAGAGGCCGGCGTTGGTGCGGTCTCCCGGGTTGGACTCAACGGTGATGTAGTTCTCTCCCGAGTCGGCGTTGATGAAGACGACAGCGATGTCGGATGACGATGACGTGGGGAGGTTGGAAGGGAAGGTGTCTGTGATGTAGAAGATGGTTGTGTTCGATGTGGAAACGTTGGCGATTGCTTCTTGCGGCGTCACGAGAGAGGGCAGGCGTGAGGTGCCACTTCCCCAGCCCATGGTCAGAACGCCCTGGTCGCAGCCCATGTCACTGCAGGAGTTGAGACCTGATTTGTTCGGCCCAGCATCGGTACCAAACACCTTGAGAGAAGCATTACGTTTGAGGGGCAAGGTACCGTTGTCATTTTTGAGGAGGGTGATCGCGTCCCGAGCAATCGCGTGGGCCGTGACATTATGGTTGCCTTGCACGTCGACAAACTGATTGACAACTCCTGTTGGGGAGAATAAGGCACCGGGGTAGAGAGGACCCGTTTTGTCGAGGGTGTTGCTCGAAAAGTTGGGTAGAGGGTAATCCTTATCTTGACCCATTTGATACCAGGTTGCTACGATCCGAGTGACCTTGAGAGGGCTTAGCATGATTCCAGCAGCAGGATGGAAGATACCCCACCATATCATTGAGTCGGTCCAGCGGTACTGTTCCGTTGAGAATTGCGGTTGACAGCTCCGATCCCCAGAAGGCAGTCCCTAGCAAAGGAATCGCGCCGTCGCCAGGCATAGCCATGTCAAGTCCAGCTAAGGCAGATGAGACACCCCCCTGCTGAGCCAGCCAGTCGGTCATGACAAAACCTTGAAAGCCCAGCTCATCCTTGAGGATGCCATTGATGAGCATGCTGTTCTGGCTGCACGCCGAACGATTCACCTGCGCTTGTCAGCCCAGAAGGCCCAAACCACCTTCATACCAACACTCACATTGTTGTATGCAGTCATCACCGACCCAACTCCTGCTCTAACACCCTCAGCAAAGGGCCAGAGATACAGCTCATGCAAAGTACGATCATCAATGTTCGACGAATAACCCGTGGTCAGCACCGAGGTCTCGCGATACATCTCCTGCTCATTCCCGATGTAATGCTTCAAGCAAGCAATGGCCCCAGTGCTTTGCATGCCCTGGATCGTCAACGCGCCTCCAACCGCCTGCAGCGTGGGGTCCGCTCCGAAGCCCTCCCACCCGCGCCCACCAAGAGGCTTCCTGAACATGGGCCCAACCACCGGACCTAGGAGAACATTCACACCCTTTCCACGAGCTTCCTGTCCCAGCTCCACACCACGCTGGTACATCAGGTCCTTATCCCAGGTGGCCCCGACAGTCACTCCAGGAGGGAAGGCGGTATTGTGATCCGAGTTTCGAATGCCGAGAGGCGAGTCCTGAAGACAGAGGTTTGGAATGCCAAAACGCAGTGCGCTTCCTGTTTGGCCGACACAAGGGCCCATGTACATTCCCGTGCCGGTAGTGAGGTTGACTTTCTCAGCAAGAGTCATGTTGCTCACCACGGCTTGAGCCTTTGCGTATGCCGCGCTCCACTCCGAGATCCAGCCTCCAGGAGGGGCTGGGTAATAGGGAGGTGAGTAGGCATCGGCGTCATCATCGCGGCGGTAATGCTCGGCCGCAAGGTATCCTGGAAGGAGAAGGGTTAGAACAGCGAGGTAATGCCAGATGGGGGTCATTGTCGGTGTCTTCGAACGAGAGAGACAGGGACAGAATCAGGAAAACCTTACTACATGCGTTGACGAGCCATGCAGTCTGTTAAAGATATAGCTCCCTGTCCTTTCTAGACCCAAGTCTAGTCAGGGGGCCCTCGATCACAAGGACATGGCCATGAAGGACATATGCAGCCTCCACACATTATGACATATGACAGACAACAGCCCACACCAATTAGATCTAGAGCATCGCTGTCGTTGGCTCGCGGCCTAGCTGATCATTGCTGGATAAATAAATGGTTCGAGGCCACCGAACAGGGACCTGCACGCATATCACTAGGGAACGGCGTGAATCGACCGAGGCAATGAGGGTTCGTTGCTGAAAATAGCGCCAGTCCGCGCCAGACAAGGGATGAGGTCCGGTGGCTAATCAACGGGCTTTTTTTGTGGTGGCCAGAATGCGGGGGCGTTCAGCTGATGTACCTTCATCAAGAGAGGAATAGATGAATTGACAATCAAACTGATGAAACCTGCGCATGCATCACAGCCCGGAAATATATGAGGTTGCACTGCTTGTGATCTAGAGATACATTGGATTACGGCTGAAGAATGTATTGTCGACAAAGTGTGCAGAAAGTGTAGTTACCGGTAGAGACAACGCAGCCTTTGTCAAAGACACAAGCGAATTATGATCCAACGAACCTGCAGAGTGACCAAGGTAGTCCAACGCGTGATGATGATCCTTATCTCGGATAGCCGACAGAGGAAGGCAGGCGAGGGTTGGGAAAGCGGAGGATCGACAGGGGAACGAACAGCAGGCAGCGTGCCTGGATCAATCAGCGAGCCCGGCCGGCTATTCTTACTCCATCCAACGCTTATCAGTGGCCTTCACCACCACTAAGCCAGTAGCTGCCAGTCAGCCAACCAAGTAGTCTCCCAATCGCAAGCCCACGATCTCTGCATCGATCCTTTTTAGCAAGGTCCGCGTCTCCGGAATTAGCCAACACTTTGCCCCTGAGCATCCGATCTTGTCGTGGATCAATTCCTTGCACCGGGACTCTCTCAGCTCATTGACTATCTTGAGCACCGCATTCAGACTAAGTCCCTTGTATGGAGCCTGAGGTGGAGGGAACAAGTTGCGCGGCTTCAACTGGTGGATGAGTGTCCCGACCATCAGCTGATCGCAGTCGGAACAACACGACTCATGATCGAGAAGGTATTCCATGCGCTCGTACAAAGAGAAGACAATCTCTTCGATGCGATATTGACGGGTTTTGTTGATGAGGTCTGATGGATTGCATAGGTTAGCCAGCCTGTTCGTCCCTGCATGAAGGGCAATGGATCATTCAAAACTAACTTATCAGGCCCGCCGGGATTCTTAGACCTTTCGTCCTTATCGACTCCGTAGACTCCGTAGACTCCCTCAGTGCAATTTCCGTAACTAGGCGAAACAAGCCATGATGGCGAAAGGCCCATGCAATGAACATCCACTGGGATAGGTCATGCGATCAAGACGTTGGAAAGCAGTCGTGGAGATTCTCAAGCCAAGTCCTGGCAAAGGCCTCCACGGCTTCGAGGCAATCGTAGTGCTGGGTCAACTCTGCTACCATGCAAAGGAGGTTGAGGTTGATTTGGCGGGGCACTTGACGACTGCGGCAATGCAAGATGTTGAGGAGGATGTAAAGGACGTCTAGGTTTGTAAGGTTGTAAGGCAGCAGGCCGGCCGGTTCTGCTCTGGTGTCTAGCCGTGAGAGCTCTTCCTGAAAGCGACGCGAGGCGAAGCAAAGGTGTTTTGACGAGACAAGGATTTGAATGCAGTGGTGGGTCTGGTCTGTAGGCCCGTCATTGTTGAGTGTTGGAAGATTTTCACTCGAGACTGTGTGAATGAATTCGTTGACAAGTGTTGATGTCGAGGAACCGAATTGAGAGGCGACAGTTTGCTGAGGCTCGGGCGTAAGATCGGAGGTTGCAATCGAATGATCTAGAGGCAGTCCGTCTAGAATGAAAGATATGTTAGTTGTGAGAGGCAGAAGGGAGAGGAAGTTTCCACCATCTCTGACTAGGTTTGCATAGATCCGGCCTGCCTGTTGCCGCAGCACAAGCAGTACATCCCAATTAGGATCGATGACTTTGTAAGGGAACTCCATTGAGATCTGTATAGTGTTGCTCATAGTGGCAAAGTATTTTGACATGATTGAAAGCAAGGGATGAAAAGTAGATAGGAGATGATTCAAACTTATAGTAAGCAAACTGCTGTTTGTGGTGCGTGATTCCTTAGCAACTTCCCCCCCTCACTGTTCACAGTGAATGGGTCCCTCACCACGAGCATACATCTAACCTGTTAGCATGTCACCTTTGTCAGTAGCCAAGAAACGTCTGATAATGAAAGCATTTTGAAGTCTATCATCATAAATTCATTCCTATAAATATCTATCTATCACTCATCATGATCTAGTTGAAATAACCGGGGAAGAGCCAGTTCATGCGCTCACGAGCCTCCGGGCTCCAATTGGGCTGAGCAGTGCTGAGCCCGAACTTGATGGAGCCCTCAACGTGCTTGGCCTGCACCAGCTCGGCGTGCTCGTCGGAAGCCAAGGCGTCCAGCACAGCTGTGACAAAGCGCTTGGCGTTCTCAGCGTTGGCCTTCATGTGGCCCATGACCATCTCCACGGTCACGTCCGCGGTCGACTCATGCCAGCAGTCATAGTCGGTGGACATGCAGATCATCTGGTAGGCGATCTCGGCCTCACGGGCCAACTTGGCCTCAGGCAGGGCGGACATGTTGATGACGCTGCCACCGAAGGAGCGGTACATGTTGCTCTCGGCGCGGGTCGAGAATTGAGGACCCTCTGCAGATGATTAGCTTCTGCAATTGAACTTTCGGGAATGAATACATACCCATGCAGATCAGGGTACCACGGTCGTGAAGAACGACTCCATCACCCTCCAAGCTGTGTCCGCAGGCTCTCACAACCTTGGCGACACCCTCGTCGAAGGGGTCGCCGAAAGGCACGTGGGCGACGACGCCGCCCTCGAAGAAAGTGAAGGGACGGATGCCCTTGGTGCGGTCAATGACCTGGTCGGGGATGACGAAATCGCGGGGCTTGATGGCCTCTTGCAAGCTGCCGACGGCGGAGAAGGCGATGATGGTGCGGACACCGATGGAGCGCAGGGCAGCGATGTTGGCGCGAGCGGGCACCTCATGAGGGGCGATCTGGTGGTGGGCACCGTGGCGGCTGAGGAAGGCAATGGCAACGGTCTTGTTGTTGTGGGAGCACTTGTGGTGCAGAATGGTGATGGGCGAGGAGGGGTTGCCCCAGGGAGTGCTGACGTTGAGGGAGGCGACCTGGGTGAAGCCAGGAAGTTCGCGCAAGCCGGTACCGCCGATTACGGCAATGCGGACGGGCTCTAGAGGTTGTCAGTGGTTGCTTGCAGGTGAGATGGCCAGAGGAGGGGAATTACCGTCGTAGGTGGTGGGGAGGGCGGCCATTCTGCGGGCTAGTTGTTTGGGGGATTCGATGCGAATGCGAGGTTTGGAGATGGACGATAAATGGCGCCAGAAAGTAGACAGCATACAAGGAAGAAAGTGGTTGTACAGGAGAAAGAGGAAGAGGAGGAGGAGGAGAGGAAGAGGGCAGAGGGACTGAGAGGCCTGAAATTCTCGGCGGGGTATTACTCCCAATCAGGAAACCGCGATCTTATCGGTCGGTGCCTGAGTGCCTGAACCTGTCCCGGAGCCTGAGAGTACCTGAGTGGTGCCTGGGGCAGAAACCGATGGACTATCACGTCATTGTACGGTAGTTAGACTTTACGTAGCTTACTGAGGAGAGGTGGACGGTGACATGGTACATTATCAGTTGTGCTCCGTACATGCATTCCACGCTATCGTTATCATCCAGATCATTAAAATGCTCATCACTCAAGCAGGACGCCACTCATAGTGGTGGGCTCCCTTGGAAACTGGGCCTGGATCCTCGCCCTTGACTCCCGGCTTGTTGTATCCATGCGCACCAAAGAGGTCCATCTGGGCCTCCATGAACTTCGTCGGCAGCATGATTCCTGCCTCGTACTTGAGGTATTCCAACGTCGCCGAGAGAGCCGGTGTATAGTGGTCGGCTACTGTAGCCGCGAGCACCGTGTCTTTCAAGGCGTCGAAATGCTTGTGCAACTCTCGCGCCACTGCGTCCACGCATTTGACATTAGTGAGAGACTCGGTCATGGCTGGCTGTAGCAGGTCGGCAATCGCTTCAGACTGGATGATACAGCCGTTGCGCCAGATCTGGAGACACTTGCTCAGATCCACCTTCCAGCCCTCGTCCTTGGAGGCACGAGCGATCAGCTCCAGACCCTGACAGAACGAGGCCAGGAAGGCGCTGTATACCGCTCTGCGGATCTTCTCAATGCACGCCTTCTTGTCTTTGATGCCCTCGAGGGGTTTGGGCCGGGGAAGGTCCAGCTTCTTGGCGACCTCCAAGCGCTCTGCGCGGTTTCCACTGGCAATCCGTAGGAAATGCGCCGTAGCCAGCGTTGGGGCCGAAACGTGGCGGGCGGCCGACTCCATGACCGACCAGTAGGGGGTGCCTTCAGTGTCATCGTCATCCTGGACCACCTTGTCAAGGACATCATCGAGGACGAATCCGCCGTCTTTGCTGGCGCCTTCACCTTGCTTGTCCCCCTGAGGGGTCTTCTTCGTGCGGAGAATCTGGACCCCAATGTCTAGCAGGAAGTTATTTCGTAGCTCCCCTTCGGAATTCCACTGCTCGAAGATGTCCGCAATCTCCTCGTACTGGAGGCCGAGTCCGTAGTGCAGCAGCGACCAGGCCTCGGCAACGGTGGACAGCATGCCGCCTTCGATCCCGTTGTGGACCATCTTGACGAAATGACCCGACCCGGCTGGTCCCACGTTGGTGACACAGGGCTTCTTGGTCTTGGGGTCTTTGGCGGCGTATTTCTCAAGAAGCGGGAGCACGAGGTTGATGGCGTCCGGGTCGCCGCCGGGGGATAAACTCGGGCCATGGCGGGCAGACTGGTACCCCCCGGAGACGCCCATGCCGATCCAGTGGATTCCGCGCTCAGCGCAACGCTTCTGACGCTGCTCAGTACGGCGATAGTGCTCGTTGCCGCCGTCGAGGATGATGTCGCCCTTCTGCAAGCTGTCCTGGATCTTGTCGAGGACGGAGTCGGCCGGGTCGCCGTGGGTGATGGAAAAGATGAAAAGCTTTTGGTCTTGGCCAAGACTTTGGGTGAATTGATCGACCTCGTCAAAAGCTTGGATCTTGCCTTTCCCGGTGAATTTCCCTTGGTCGATCCATTGGCGGATACCGTCGACGTTGTCGCGGCTGACGTCCCAGATGGAGACGTCCAGACTGAGCTCGTTGAAGGCGAAGGCCATCATGGAGCCCATGTTGCCGGCCCCGACAATGCCGATTTTGGAGAACATGATGGCAATAGTAATGAATTAATTGTAGCTCTTGTTGGACTCTACATGACTGCGATGCTGGTTTTTTAAGTGGTGAGAAGATGGGGTCGACGCAGAGGTTACATCATTCCGACATTCGGATCTTATCAGCCCTAATTAGTTACTGTAACTGACATCATCCTGACTGTATAAACCTGTAGATATATTTAACAACCCCCAATGATCGGATCCTGATTTCGATATTGCTTACTGAGTTTGATCACTGAGTTTGACTGAGTTTAACATAAGAAGATATGGCACACGATATCCCTTTCTCATTTGCGACCTGTTCGATCGGCAAGCCCACCGACAGCCTCCCGGCTAAGCTGGAGGCACTGTCTGAAGCGGGCTTCCATGCGGTGGAGCTCGCCTTTCCGGATATTCTATCCTATGCAAAGGAGATTCGAGGGGAAGAGGTAGCCGAAGATGACTATGAGGCGCTGCGGGAGGTGGCCAAGGAGATTCGAGGAGTCTGTGATCGGTTGGACGTGAAGGTGATGATGTTGCAGCCGTTTGCCAATTTCGAGGGATGGCCCGAGGGGTCGAAAGAGCGAGAGGATGCATTCAAGCGGGCGAGGGGGTGGATTAGTTTGATGGAAGTGCTGGGGTGTGACATGTTGCAGGTATGCTGCCATTGTACTACACACAACTTATACACAGAGCTCCTTCCCTCATCCCCATACATCGATACCCTCTCAACTCCCACTCCCACTCACAACTAACGAAACCCCCCAGGTCGGATCAACAGACACCCCCCTCTCCTCCCTCTCCAACACCCCGAGCCTGCACGAGCACATAATCCACGACCTCCGCCAACTTAGCGACCTCCTCGCCACCCACAACATGCGCCTCGCCTACGAAAACTGGTGCTGGTCCAGCCACAGCCCGGACTGGGCCTCCGTCTACCACCTTATTCAAGCCGTCGACCGACCGAACATCGGCCTCTGCCTCGACACCTTCCAGACCGCGGGGGCCGAGTACGCCGACCCCACCGCGCCGGACGGCCTGGTCCCCACCACCGACGGCAAGGCCAATCTCTCCACCCCCCAAAAGTTCTCGGCGAGTTTGGCGCGCCTCGCCAAGACCATCCCCGCCGACAAGATCTACCTGCTGCAGGTGTCGGACGCGTACCGGGCGGATCCACCCTTGGAGGATGAAGTGGTGGAGGGAATGCGGCCCCGCGCGCGCTGGAGTCATGACTATCGGCCGTTGCCGTATACGGAGGGCGGGTATTTGCCGATCGAGGAGGTGGGGAGGGCGGTGTTGGGGACGGGGTTCAGGGGGTGGTTCTCGATGGAGGTTTTTGATGGGAAGAGGAGGGAGGTGGATCTGAAAGGGTATGCGAGGGAGGGGATGGGGAGTATAAGGCGGTTTGTGGAGAGGTGTTCTTCCTGAGGGACTTTGGATTTTGGATTTCAAGATAAGGAGTTCGGGGAGGATTCCCTGGTATGAAGACAAGACAACTACGCGAGGTTTACTTGCACACATGATAGGGTGGAACATGGATATATTTTACCGAACGCCTGAACTATGCAACCTATACCGAACATGGAACATATACAACAATCATCGTAGCGTCATTAAGCGTTGCTGGGGTAGGCGACCTTGTAGGTGGGAACGAACTCCTCCTTGATCGACCGCAGACTCACGAACCGCGACAACAGGTTGCCGCTGCCCGCCTTGTCGTTGGTACCACTGGCACGCGCACCGCCGAAGGGCTGCTGGCCCACAACA